CAGGTCCCTTCCGACCCTAGAAACTATGAAACTGTAAGTTATTAAGCAGCTGAAATTAGAGCATAACTTGTTCAAGGCAAGCCTGACATTTTCATTTAAAAACAAAACAACAGACATCAGCTACAAAAATAAATACGTGTGTATGTATAATATATAATTAGTAGACAGAAGCCCTGCTCTCATTCAAAGCAGCATGTCCTACCACAGCTCCTGCTCGATTCTGTCCTGTTTCTGCTTTTCTTTTTTGCTCTTCTGTATCTGCATGTGTGCGCACACATGCACACACACGAGGATGTGCAGCATGCACAGTAAATCAAAAACTTACCTGCCCTTTCGATATGAGATAAGCTATTATAGGCATATGCTGAAAGAGCACTGCTAAATGAATGCTACTGAATCCTTCTCCATCAATGAGGCTGGGATCTGCTCCACATTTTAACAACAGTATGACCATAGATAAGTGACCTTGTCTGTAATGAGATAGGAAATCGTTGTTAGAAACCTTTAATATGTACAGATGGTTATAAATACATTTTTTACAAATTTATATTAAAATCACCTTTGAAATGATTAACCATCAAATAACTTGGAAAACCTCGGAGTGAGCCTGAGGTTCATAAAGTGAACCTTCATCATTTTAACTCTGACTATATTCTAAAAGTACACTTAACTAAGGAACAAACTTAACTTTTGGGGAGAGGCCTGAAATGTCTCTTAAGAATTTACTTTGCTGGAGGTATAGGAACCAGCATTTTCATTTCTACTGTTATCTGTGTAAAATAAATAAATAAACATCCACTGTTTAATTCAATGATCTGTATATCTCTGTTTTTAAAAAATAATTAATATTGCATTGTCATTAACATACTTGTTGCATCTATGGAAAATTTAAGCTTGCGAATTTAAACCAGATTCCTATATGGGAGGGCAGAGTTGAGGACAAACATACACATGAAAGCTACCATCCTCTTTGTATCTCCATAAAACAAATATAAATACTAACTAAATTTAAGATTTCATAGACATTAGGGTTGCTAGCATCTATACAAAAATGCACCAACAAATTAATTTTTAGTAGCACTTTACCTAATGGCCCAATGAAGCGGAGTAGAATTTAAATCTCCACCTAGCTGATCCACTACTGAACCTTTGGAAATATAAAACCTGTATAATAGCAATAAAATAAGACAAATGAGAGAGAGAGAGAGAGAAAAAAAAGAGAAAAAACTGTTCTAGTAGTTACTTTTTTTGTTATAAAGATACTTTCACATGGAAGATGCATAGTTAAGAATATTTTACTATAACAATACAATTTTGAGAAGGTACCAAATTCAAAAATATGCTAACTACTAAAGCATTTCTAGTGTTAAGAATTATACTAGTGACATTTGCATCTCATGCAAATTCAGTTCTAATCTAACTAGCTCTCCAAATTATAAATCTGCTTCCATGGAAACAATTATTGAAGTAGTCTCTGTCCATTCCTATGTAAAGAATATGGACCTGCTAAATATATTTACTAAGCGGGACTACATTTCATATGAGCAGATTCCTACACTTGTACAGAGCCTCAACTAAACTCAATTGCAGTCCACCTGCAACATCAGGTACTTTGCAATACCAAAAGGAAAGACATAAATATTCAAATCCCACTCAATATATTAGACTGCTAATACCCTCCAGTCCCACAGATTCAGCAGGATTAGTACCCAAGATATGAAATCCATATTCGAAGCTGCACACTACTGTTTGATTTTACTGTTTAAAGAGGTGTGGTTCCAACTACCCCCTCTTTCCTTGCTACTCCAGCGAAGTACCTTGACTTCCAAGAAAGTAGGATATTGCAGATGGAATTTCTCTGAAGACACTTATTTAAAAAGTTGGCCATGGCCATTTTTGTTGTAATTACAATCTGTGGTCAGAACCACAGTGGATCTCATGTACTGCATGAATTCTCATTTTAAAAATGTAAAAAGTAGTAGTATACTCATGCAGAGGTATAACCTAAGTACACTGAATGTAGGAAGGTCAGTGTAATTTTATACTTTTGTTCCCAAACAGTATAGTTTGTTTTCACTTTGTTCTGCAAAATGTTAATAAAAGTGAAAATGAATGTGCAGAAGAAAAAATTGTCTGCCCTTCACCTTAACCCCCCATACACAGGTTTATATTCACAAAAACAACGTAACTTACTTTACAAGATCCAGTCTGTTGTTTATTGCTGCCCAGTGAAGAAGAGTCACATTTTCTTTGTCTGGCTGTCGGACATCAAACCCTGCTTCTACCAATTCCCTGCACCGCTCCAATATTCCGTATCTCAAGTAGGAAAAAATATTTCAGTTATGGATGAATTCTTAAACACTTCTCTCCTATTCGTATCATCTCTTGAGTAAGGGATGCTTTCTAAAAAAAAAAAAATGTCACAGAGGTCCTAATCGAACAGCTCTTATCCAAGCGAAATTCCCTACTGGATTTAGTGAAAGTTCTTGGGTAAGGATGGGCGTTAGGATAAATGGAAACTTAGTTAAACCATCTTAAATTAGATGATCCATCAGTTTTACCACTAGTGAAACCAACCTGGGTAAGTGCCAGCTACCTGCATCTTGTTTGTGACTTAAAAAAAACAAACAAACCACTACCTATCATATTTATAGGGTTACCTTTCAGTCTTTATTTTGTAAGATGGAATAAAAAAAAAAGAGAGCCAAGTCTTCAGTGGCTTTAAAACATTTTTCTTTGTGAAGAAATAAAAAATTAAATCTGAAAAGCCTTCACAAATGCCACTATTTTCTGGACTTACTGTGTCGCTTTGACAATATCACAGGTACTATAGTCCTCTACCAGCGGAGCTGCTTCTGGTGGCTTTGTTATATTTTTATCCGCGTGGATGCTGTGCCAGTCGTGTATGTGAGGTCGGTGAGGGCCGTGGCTGTGAATCTGACACTCCTGGTGAAAAACACAAATGTTTGCTCATTAACATGAATTCGGAAGAGCCCCTCTGGCTTTTGTGCCCCCTGGGAAGAAGCCACCTAGAGCAGGGATGGATGCCCAGCCTTTCCACCCTACCAGCCGGAGGGGTGGTGCCAAGTCTGTCCCTGGGCTGGATCCAACATCCAGGGCAATGCTGCGGGGGGGGGG